CATTTCTTCAGTCAAAAAGATATTATGTTTCACAGGCACACATTGTCTAAAGAAACTGCACTTCTTCAGTCAAAAAGATATTATGTTTCACAGGCACACATGTTCTTCCACATGACTTTAATCATATTCCTCTCAGTCAGAACTAATGAAACATACCAAGATGTCAAGACATCATATATGACATCTCCCATTCAAGAATCATGTCTCTTATAATACTACACATGATTCAACTTCTCATGCCTAGAACCATATATGATTTTTCACAAGCTTTAACAACATGCACGCTTCATAATGTCTGCACTATTGCAACAACAATCTATAGACCAGTACATAACTCCCCTATCATGGATAAAGAGTGCTATTGTTGAACGCATTTAAACCATGGTGAAAATAAACCTGAACTAGATACTCTAGCTCCTTGAGAAAATAATCAAGCCCTCTGACTTCTTCATTTTGACAAGAACATACAAAAATAATTTGTTTGCTTATTTCACACGCTCAGAACTGACACACTCTTTTCTAGAGTAATTTTCATCAAAAGAAATCCACTTCATCATAAGCTTCCTAATCAGATCACCCCATCTGATACCTTTCCTCTGTCCTTACTTGAAATTGTTGGATAGTAGTCATGCATTCAACAAACATACTACTGTAGACAAGATTATATTCACAAATTCCTCTTGCACATTAATCTCTACATCCATAGTACCAGACAACTTCCAAAGAACAACCAACAAACATGATGTTACAATATCATTTAGGATATTAGCTTCACATCACATAATCCAATCATTTTGGTTCTTGATTCACCATCAAAAGGACTCATCGTGCTTGGATGTCCTTCTTTCAAGCTATTCAAGAATGTCTTACAACCACCCCTTCTGCAGCTCATTCAGGTTATGACAAACACCTGAATACCATGGAGAAAAATAAACTCTCATACACTTTTGAAGTAATGAGTTCAGATTGCAGACTTGCATAAATACGTCAGGAAAACACATAACTCTCGTCATGTATTTATATTCAGTCGCATGCACATCTACATCACAGTTTATCCTAGAGGTCCAAACAGCTGATAGAACTACCTCTTCTCAAGTGGTAGAACATTTGGTCTGGAATTCTCCTTCTACACACCACAAACAGTCATGACAGATATTCACATCACATACTAAGCCAGATCAGGCCAGTGACTTGACTCCACCATGAACTCAAAACAAACTTTCTTAGCTAGAGAAGCAACCAACTGAAATGATGTTCCAACATCAGTTCAGACATCATGGATTTAATCATTTACTATGGATTTTTAGAGACCACCCATAGTAATCCAAACACAACATTTGCAGGAAACACAAGGGAATCACACTTGTACCCATCCACAACTTATCACCCTTCAAGATCAGATCATAAATACATGCAGTGGCATGCACACCTCAAGAACCTTCTTCTCATAAGCACAATGTCCAAACTTCTTGTATGACCTTGAGGTGTTAGATGCCATCCTTATACATCAACAAAGGAGATTCCCTTTATCAGACAACTAGGTCAGACCACAACAAACCAAGTTTTGAATGATCAACATACCACAAACAGGATGTTTAGAATAAGTTTTCTTCTTCCAATTCTTCAAGACTCAAACCTGGAAAGCTCATCCCAAACACTCCAAAAAAAAGCAGACACCACTCAACCAATTTAATGAAACACACCACAATTGTGATTTAGTCTCCTTGAATAACTTAACTCTGGTTGATACACCTTCATTGCATACAACCCCTTGTATATCTTTTTTCATTATAATAGAACAAGAGTTCTATATTCTCATAGACTTGATAATAATATGAAGTTTGAGTAAACAACCTCCATCATGTTTATTAGAAACACCAGCCATATATATTGAGAAAAATAAATTGTTAATACAAAGACGACAAGACATTATATCTGACATTTCTTCAAAGCCTTTCAACTCTAGAATAGAACCTGGCTACTTAGAACAAAAGAATCTTCTTGATGTTAGTGAGAATGTTCAATACTTCATCAGCTGAATACCAAAAACTCCTTCACAAGTAGAGGCCAGGATTTTGAGCTATTGTAAAATGGATCAGAAATAAACTGATCATAGAATATTCAACAGACTGATCAGACACATTCAACATTAGATGACACATCAAAATTCAATCTTTTCAAGAACAAAAAAAATTGCTCTTGTCTTTCTAGAATATCTTTATCATGATTACTTTCTCTTTTGAGCTCTTTTCACATATAGAAGTGCCTTTATAAGAGGACTTGAAAGAGATTCCAAGTATTGTTGGCTATATACGTGATAAGAGTGCTTACGGATCATAATATGAAAGAATCAACACAACCTATTCTCATTGTCTTACTTCCAGACGGTCTTGTACTTTTATAAACACTGGCACCATCTTGCATCATTAAAATTAAGTTATTCCAAGAGTAGATCTTTCTTGAACCATGAATTAAAGAACACACATCAGATACATATGCAGCGGAATAAATCACATCCTCCACAGCCTCCAGGAAAGATGTCAAAAACATCTTATAGGACATCATATAAAAGAGACATCCCCATAATCAACCAACAGTTGGACATAACTCTCTCTGTTATGCCTAATACATCATTTTCCTCAAAGGAAAACCCAAAACATCATAAGACAAAACACCCTGAACACCACATATTCACACAGGAGAGGCATATGTAGTAGGAAAAAAACGCCTCATAATTAACACCCCAACCATAGCAGCAACTACAACCAGCACCTTGTTCCTTCAAGTCCAATGCACCAGAAAGTATCTTCCCTAGATCCCACCCAGAACAGAACAGAATACCTACTCTGATATCAATTAAAATTCGGGTATACAGGTAATAATGTCCTAACACTTGTTGAGACAGAGATCTTTGCGTAACAATACTTGGATTGGATAAAGCACACTGATATAATTCATATCAAAACAGCGTCATGAAAGATGTTCCAATATCTTATATGGCATGTCAATCAATCAAAAAATAAAACTGAACAATGCAGAATGATAATAACACAAAGATATGATGACTCAGTTCGGTGTACAACAACACTTACTCTAAAGGCTACCAAGCCAACAAGGAAGTCCAATATCAACAGTATTAGTTCAAAGCCTAAACATTCTCAGTTTAAAACTTCTCGCATAATCCCTACCCAATGCAACTTCTACTTAACTCCTCCCTAAATATGAGAAATCACCATCTCACTTCTTAAATCACCTCAGTGATATCTAACAATCACAACCTCTAGTGACTGCATCAAACTACTTGAAAGACACCCCTTTCAAATAAAGTTCAGCCAAGACTCTTGACTAACACACACACACACACACTTGGATTTGCTTCAAAGTTTCATCTAAGAACAATATACAATGTATTACCTAAAGGCTTCTGAATCTGTATAGAAACAAGATTTACCACAATGTATCAAACCGATACAAATGGTGACTGACAACACAAGAAAGTACACGATTCTCAAAACCCTACACCCTTATATTTTCTTTTCAAAAGTTTTGCACCAGACTTAGTTAAATTTCCCTAGGTCTAAGTCTTCCTTTTATAATCTTCAGTTGTCCATGGACTTCGAAACAGCAGCATATTAGTTGTTGAAAATTTGTTTCAATCTTCTGCGTAAAAATAGGACTTCAATCATTTGTTTCCTAATTTGTCTCCACAAATAGAAACTGATAAGACTCATTGAAATCAACTTGAATCTCTTCAATCTTCAATCTTAGCGCCACATAAGATAGCATAATATTCCATAATATTATGTATCTGTAACCAACAGAGCTAATCAAGCTGTCCAGCTGATCGTAGACACAATGTCGAATGATTCTGCATAAGACATCTTTGTTCGACATGTTTCTTCTGATGATATAATATCTTAGCTCAAAACTTCTAATTTCTTCATCTTGGACACCCCATATAATTATTTAATATTTTCAGAATATTCAGTAATTTAAATTACTTGTATCCAACCTGTGACAGACTAGATGTCATGCTCTTTTGATTATGACATCATATACGACATGTTGAAATTACTAGTTAAAATATCTTGTTCAACATCTTTCTACTAAGTTAGAACATTCAATCATAAAACATAGAATTAACAGATACTACTAAACTTATTTGATGATTTTATGAACTTATTTTACATTGTTGCTCTAAATTTAACCACTAGATTAATAAGTTCAATGACAAGGAAAATACAATTATGAAGCACCATAGTTGAAAAAGACAAAAATAGAAACACAAACAAGTGGTCAACAAGTATAATAATCATATTAGTACAACGCCTTATTTGAAATACACGTATGCACCAGAGAATCAAGTGGTGACTGTAAGCAGAAAATAAAAATGAATTGCACAAAATTGAGAAAGCAAGTTGATATGATCTAGTTAATAACCAAGTACAAAATCTTCAACAATTACAAATCCTTATTGTGGTTTCTATCTTCCAAGACAATGGGAATTGAATAAACCAGTGGCCAAACCAAAATGAGCAAATATTTCTGTTCTGGTCGACCGGATTGACCTCAAGTCCGCGCCTCTCTAGAAAGCACTGTCCGCTTGCCTCGTTGGGACGAGGTGTATGTATGTAGTATAATAAACAACTCTTAGTCTCGTTCTCAAGCAATGTGAAACTATTTTTGCCAGCCCTAAACAAATTCCAAAACAAAGGCTCTATATTTGGAATGCTTCACACTATTTCTGCACCAGAAATGTTTCACAAAGGGAATCTGAATCAGAAGTTTCTATTTTTCTCTGTAGTACCCCAAACAAAAAATAAATTATCTTGCTTCGATTTAACAGAGAATATTCCTTCAAGTCATGGTTTTAAATTTGGGTTGCAATATAAAGGATTTTAAGATCTCCCATCGTCATTGCAATTACAATTTCGGCCGTATCAGCTACATTTTCCTGCAATATAAAGTTTTGCAGCGCAACGGCAACCATAACTTAAGGTTTACACTTCAACCATGACTTCCTTTCTGTAACCAATAAGACTTTCCAAAACACCGTACAACTCTTCTGTCTTTAGATTAGATTGATCTAGAGAATAGAACTGATGAACTTGGTCATCAACCTCAATCCAACTACATCCTGGAATCTTATAAGATTTTTGTTGCTTCAATTTGCACCAAACATTCCTCACTTCATCCCATTTTCCTAACTCACCGTATATATTAGCCAGCATTGTTCCGTAACCACCATTGTGTGGATCTATTTCAACTAGTTTTTTGGCTGCAAATTCCGCCAAATCGGTTCTACCATGAACCTTACATCCATTAAGCAAAGAGCCCCAAACCACTTCATCAGGTTCCATGCTCATTCCCTTCATAACATCCATCACCTCATCAAATCGACCTGCCCGACCAAGAAGGTCAATCAAACACCCGTAATGCTCGATCTGAGGCTCTATCCCGTACTTCTTAATCATCATCTCAAAATAGCCACAACCTTGTTCAACCAATCCACCATGAGTACAAGCATTCAACAGCCCAATAAAGGTAACCTCGTCAGGCCTCACAGCACTGCCATACTCCACCATCTTCTCAAAAACCGCAACCGCGCCATCACATTTCCCATGCAACGCGTAACAATTAATCATTGAATTCCATGAAGTCAAACCCTTACATCGGTCCATCTCAAAAACCTTCCTCGCCTGCTCCAAACTCCCACATTTCCCATACATATCCACAAGTGCGTTCGAAACAAACGAGTCAACCACAAAACCATGCCTATAAACATAGCCATGTATCCATTTCCCAAGCTGAAGCATACTTGCATGACCACAAGCCGAAAGCGCACAAACCACCGTAACCTGATTCGGCTTATTACCCTTACAAAACCCTTCCTCACCACGAGCAGCAACAAAAACCATTTCTCTAAACAACCTAATCCCCTCACTAAAAAACCCATTCTGAGTACAACCACTAATCACAGCATTCCAAGCCGGAACATCTCGTTCAACCATTTCACCAAACACCTCCAAACCATTTTCAACATCACCAACTCTCAAATACCCAGAAACCAAAGCAGTTAAAGACACAACATTTCTCTCAGACATTTCATCAAACACCTTCTTAGCATCCTTTAAAGCTCCCACAACCTTCGAATACGAATCAACAAGCGAAGTTTCAACAACTGAGTATCGTAAAAAACCAGTTTTTACAATCTGGGCATGCACAGAACCGATTAAAAACCGTTCCTTTGATGATTTGAGCACATGGGGATAGATGAAATTGTTAGGACGAACTGAGCTATTGAGCATGTTTTTAAAGAGAGAGAAAGTGAGGGAATGATTGCTTTGCTGAGAGGAATAAGCAGTGATGATGGCAGTGAAGAGATAGATATTGGGAGATTGAACATGGTTGAAGATTCGATGAGCATAATGAAGATTTGAGAGATTGATGGAAGAAAAACGAAGGAGTTTGAAAGCATAGAAATGGGTTTGGGAATGACCAAGTGTGATTAAGTGTGATTGAAGTTGTTTCAAATGGTTTAGGTGGTTGATTTTGTTTAGAATGGTTGATACGAAATCGTTTAGGTTTCGTTTCATTTGATTGATTATTTGTCTTGTTTTCTTTTGCTTACTCTTCTTGCATTGTTTTTCAATTTACATGATTGTTGGAACGAAAAGAATGGAAGTGAGTAAAGGAGGAGATGAAATGGTTATTTGGACTTTTGAAAGAAAAAAAAAACTCGTTGTTGTCACATTAGTAGATTTTTTTTTTTGAATAACCAGTTTTTCAAAAATAATCTTAAATAACTACTCTTTCAAATTAATTTTTAAATTAATTTTTTCAAATAAAAAAAATCGACACGCAAATGAGTAGTTATTGTGTATGACAATTGCATGTAAAAATAGGAAGAGGTGCCACACTACATAACTTATATTCATATGTAGTGTTATATAGTGTGACACATGATGTATTGTTTAAGAGAAATAGTCACTCAGTTGTTTTGTATTTTTTTTTTTTAAATAATAATAAACATAAATAAAAATACTTAAATGAATAAATTACACAATGATAGGAAATATTTTTACCGGCGACCCCCGTTACCTATACGACCCTCTCTATCCACTCGACCCTTCCACCCAAACGCTCACTGGTATGACAATAACGGTCTCGTATTTGTCTTTGAGGTCTCTGATTCAAATTTCTCTTAGGTGTTTAAGGTATGTTCTGATTCACTTAAGGTACTGATGCTTGATGCGATGGTCCCGGGACATTCGGGTTAAACAACTCGACCATTTCTTCCCATCTTGAGGTGCTTCCAAAGAGATCGGTGCCCATGTTGTCGGAGTTGGTTCTATTTGGTTAAGTTACGCGTCGGTTCGTGGTTGATAGAATTGAAATGAGGAATCATTTTGGAAACGGAGCAATATGGTTCTCGGGGTGTTTGAAAGACATGTGATGGTTGGGTGCTTCGGAGGTGTGATGGTTGATTGTATATTGGTTGGATGTTATGATAGGAAAGGGATGTATTATATGTATCATCGATATTGTAGTAAGATGTGTTGGCAGCATATTGGTGGTGGTCTGGGTTATACTCTTGGTTTTGTGTTTGTGTATGTGACATGAATTATTGGCGATTTTGGATGGATGTGGTGGTGTAAGATAATCTGCCCATAATTTTTGTAGCCTGTTCAATGTAAAATAATGAGGATGGGGCACTTTAGGTGGCGCATATGTGTTAATCTGCCCATAATTTTTGCAGTCTATTTAAGCTGTGCATTGCTATCAGTCCAAAACACATTACAATTGACATTGTTGTCCAAAACACATTACAATTGACATTGTTGTCTTGCCAAAACACACTCCAACTAAACCAAATGGATCATACACAATATTATATTATCTGCACTCACATAAACGATGATATGTTCAACTATGATAGCTTCAGGTTTAATTTTTGTAATACCGATTTTATCTTGTTTAGAATAAACCGAAAATCAAGTTTTGCACATTTCAAAGAAAGACTCGAGGCAAAATTGCAGTGTGGTCAAGTTTACCAAATTATTTACAAGAGTTCATTCATATTTGGAAATAACCAAGTCATATTTTTTCAATTAAAGGTCCGCGATGATGATGATGTGCAAAATATGTTCTGAACTCATGAACATTCCAGATTCAACAAAACTGAGTTATATGTTTTAATACAACAACCAAGTCAATCTCAGGTTGTGGATCCTTCATAATTTTTTGACGAAGAAGACGAATCTGATGAGGACGACAACCTCGAAGTCGATGTTAGTGACGAAGAAGAAGAAGATGATGAGACCAGGGCTGATTTTATGGTGAATGATGACTTTGTAGATCAAGATCGTGAACCTTTACCTATGAGTCATGCATGTGTTCCTCTGATTCACATGACGAACTTGAACTTGGGAGACGATGAACCAGCCTCAGATATCTTTCACAATCCTTATATGTAGATCGAAAGGGCATTAAAAGTTGGAGACAAATTTTGTACAAAAGAAGAATGTGTAAGAGCTAAAAAAAGTATCACGTGGAAATTTCCGTTGACTTCTCTATAGATCGCACTAATTCAGGGAGGTACGTCATTTTATGTCGTCAAAAACAAATTTTGCCGTTTCGGCTAACTACGTCTTACAAGAAGAGAAGTGACCCATGGGAAATTTGTACCATTGATCCACTCCACACTTGCATCACCACTGTTTCTACGCAGGATCATCGGAAAGTTAACTCTCAATTAATATATCAAGAAATCTTACCTCTCATTAGCAAGGATCCATCACTGAAGGCGAGTACAATTATTTCTCACATTGTTACAAGATTCAATTATACTCCCTCTTACAGGAAGGCATGTATTGCGAGGACTAAAATAGTTGAACTAGTATACGGTAATTAGGAGGAATCGTATAAAGAACTTCCAAGATTTTTGGTGGAACTCAAATATTATGCTATGTGAATTGTTATAATTTTAGAGACACTCCCGACATTTACCCCAGACAAAACTTATGTTAGTGGAAATGGAATATTTCATCGACTGTTATGGGCATATGAACCATGTGTAATACAGTGGGAGAATTGACTTTTAGGTTTTGTATTTTATCGCAAATATTGTAGATAGCAAGAGTCGCCACCAACTTTTATTTTATCCAATAAAGGAAAGGGTGAAAAGAGCAGGAAAGACCTTTGAGAATTTTTCTTGAGTTCGGGGGGTAGGTTATGAAAAGGTAAGGTGTTATCACCCTTTTCATCCGTAGTTATCTATGGGCTCTTAATTGCTAGCTCACTTTGAAATGCTTTTGTGTTTGTGTATCTTTGAAAATATTTTGAAAATGCCTAAGTGTGGAAATTTTGTAATGATTCTCGTATCGTTGAGAATGTATACAAAATTTTTGTTTTATAAATATTCATGAAAGGAAGTGTTGTGAAAAGTTGTTTTAAAAATGCCAATGTAAGGCAATTTGCTTTATAATAACTCTTGTATCAGTCCTCAAGAGTATTTATAAAATGTTTTGAAAGTAGTTGTTTTTAAAGTGTGAAGTGTAAAGATTGTTTTAGATAGTGCTAACCTACCATTAGTTAGTAGAGAGCCTTATCATTGGATGTGAGGGACATGCGTGGATCGTTGTACAGTCATAGAAGGCAACTTGTAAAACGCTTTAGCAATTGTCGTAAGGGACTAAGATTTTTTACCGAAGGAAACATCAAAGGGTCATCGAGGGACTACGATCTTTTAATCGATGGTCTTTGCTAAAACATCCCACGTTCGAGGGACATGACTGTTTTTATCCGAGGCAACAAGTGAGGTTTTCCCAGAGGTGCGTGTTTGCGAAGTGTTTTAATTTCAAGTATTTGTTTTTGAGATTAGGTTATCTAACAGTTAATTTTAATCTTACCATACAAGCCCTAACTACTAACAGTAATAAGAAAAGCAGTAAATTACAGAAATTGAATGTCCTACGCTATTACAACGCTTCAGGGATGGGGGTACAAGTTTATGAATGGGGGAGGAAAAGTTAAAGAAAAACCTAATTTATTTATTACATTCTTTGAGCAATTACAATATTATCAGATACTAATACGAAAATAAAGTGCGTGAAGGTGGTGAAAAGGGGAAAATATTTAAGAAAAAAACTAAAATATTTCTAAGCATTTAAGAAAAATATTTTGTTGTTTTTTGTTTAGAAAATATTTGAAATGTGAAATAAAAAGTTAGACCTAATTCTAATTTTATTTACAATTTAATTATTTAAAATGAAGTGTGAATAACTTATCAAAAATTAAGTTAAATAATTAAAATCTAAAGAATTCTAAGTATTTAGAAAAAAAAAATTGGTGTTTTATTTATATATATATATATATATATATATATATATATATATATATATATATATATATATATATATATATATATATATATATATATATATATATATATATATATATATATATATATATATATATATATATATATATATATATATATATATATATATATATATATATATATATATATAAAACCTAATTTTAATTAAATAAAATAAAAGTGATTAAATTACTTTTTATTTGTCAAAAAATAAATTAATTAAATAAAAAACCTAAATCTAATTTTTTATATCAATTTATGATTTTTTTTTAATTAAATAAAAAATTATTAAGAGAAATAATTAATTAAAACAAAATAAAGAAAATAAAATGGGCATGGGTGAAATAAAGAAATTGGGGGGGTGAAAAGAAAGCAAAAACAAAAATCCCAAATCAGGGAGGCCCATCCCATACGCTGTTTGATTCAATGGGGATGACTTTCTAAGAGTGCACCATGGGGTGGCTTCTTGAAGCGTGGGATATGATTGTATGAATATCTGATGGTGTTGATATGAGGCTCATGATAGGCGCGCTATGCTTGCTCACATTGGATCTGTAGAGAAAATGTTAGAAAAATAAAATGCCATAGGCAGGGATCAAACCCCTGCCCTGGCACACTAACGCCATGCGCGCACACATACACACACGCTTGCCACTGGGGTGGTTGTTTCATCCGATTATGAAACAACCACCAATAAATATATTATAAACTCATTTTAGAAATTCAAATTTGTGGACTTCATCTTCTTCCTCGCGCCAGAACAACAAACCAACATTTTTTATTTTCAAACTCTTCCATTTCTCAACCATTTTGAAAGATGTAAACATCAAAACTGCTTGAATTTTAACCACGAATCCAACCATATAACTTCCATAAGCTATAGATCAATGGTTAGTATGAATTTTGTTTGGTACCAAACTGAAAACCTAAAAATTTAGAAACTTCAGTTCCAAAATTCTCACCACATAGTTAATTAAAATGCAATTTTAGGACATGGTTAGCTTTATAGACACGATATCTACATTTTTGCTTTAGAATGTATTTACAAATGATGCTTAAATCAAGATATCAAAGTTTGGAAAACTTACCTCTTGATACGAAATTTGAATGCTCACTACACGACTTCCAGAGGTAAAATGATGATTTGGTGAGCTTGCTTGGACCCTGAGGAAGTTGTTTGGATGCTCACTTGGTGAGAATGGCTGAATCACTCCA